AGAGGCAGGGCAACATACTTCTTTAAAATCAGCACCTTCATAGGATAAACTTAATGAAATGGGTAGAAATTGATTTTTTTTTAAAGGTTTTATTTATTTATTTGACAGATCACAAGTAGGCAGAGAGGTAGGCAGAGAGAGAGGAAGGGAAGCAGGCTCCCCACTGAGCAGAGAGCCTGTTTCGGGGCTCTATCCCAGGACCCTGGGATCATGACCTGAGCTGAAGGTGGCAGAGGCTTTAATCCGCTGAGCCACCCAGGCGCCCCTAGAAATTGATTCTGAGAGTAATAGACTCATTGATTATTTCATTCAGTCCAACATAAATGGTAGAAATCCTGTTTTCAATATGTAAAAGAATGTGAACATTAGTTCATTGACCTCTGCTTCTCGTAGTAAATTTAGTAACTGGTGCTAACATGGGATCATCTAGGAATTTTGTGTCTTAAACTAGTATTTCAAATATGGCGGGTATGCTTTTGTATTCTCTTCAGAATTGAATCTTTTTTTTTTTTTTTTTTGTAGGTATGCATGGCAGAAAGCACTTTTTTAAAAAGATTTATTAGAGAGTGAGTAGGCATGCAGGCAGGAAAGCAGTAGTGGTGAAGAGAGAATCCTCAAGAAGATTCCTTACTGAGCACAGAGCCCAACAGGACACAGGGCTCAGTCCCAGGAACCTGAGATAAGACCTGAGCCGAAATTGAGAGTTGGCTACTCAACCGACTGAGCTCCCCAGTCACCTCTGGAGAAAGCACTTCTTTCTAGCAGTATCATTAAAAAGTTCTTTGTGTTAGTTAACATAAATAATTAGTGCTACCCCTGTTTATTATTAGAGGATAAGAGCAGAGATAAAGTCAAATAAATACTTCCTTTTTGAGTCTGTAAAAATGTAGATACCTGGAATTTTTAAATTATTTGAATTTTATTTTAACTAACAGTTTGGGTTGGTAGCGTTGAGAAATATTTAGTAAAGGATCATGCTTATTAAGCTTTAGTAATATATCTGTTCAAAAATACTTTCTTGTCTAGCCAATTTATGTCATGCCCAGTTCTAGGCCCTGGGAATACAAGGAAGAATAAACCATTATGGGGTTTATATTTTAGTGAGATAGAAAATGAACAGATTGTAATGTGAAGAAGTGATAAATGCTTTGAAAAAATATAACCTAGAGTGGGGAGAGAGAGTATGATGGGGTGGGGACTATTTAGATTAGTCAGGGAAGGCTCTTTTGAGGGAAGAAGAAAGTCTTTAAAAAGTTACTCCAGGGGGGTTGGGGGGGTAGGAAAAGAATAAATGAAACAAGATGGGATCGGGAGGGAGACAAACCAAAAGAGACTTTTAATGTCATAAAACAAACTGAGGGTTGCCAGGGGGAGGGGTGTAGGGAGAGGGTGGCTGGGTTATGGACATTGGAGAAGGGTATGTGCTATGGTGATTGCTGTCAAGTGTGTAAACCTGGTGATTCACAGACCTGTACCCCTGGGGCTAATAATACATTATATATTTATAAAAAATAAAATTAAAAAAAAATAAAAATTGGAACCTCTATTTAAAAAAAAAAAAAAGTTACTCCAGGCAGAGGGAATAGTAAATGGCAAAGAGCATGAATTAGGATCTAGCTCACTGAGAACCAGTTTGGTATGTTGGAAGAAAGGCAAGAAAACTGGTCTGACAGGAGCAGAGAGAATGAAGTTGAGAATGATAGGAATTGAGGGTGAAGCGATATGCAGGGGCCAGAGCACGTTTGACCTTATTGCCTATGTGTTTTATTTTGAGTGTACGGTTGGGATACAACATGGAGTTAGAGGTGCCAACACATCCACACCCCACATACTGAAAAATTTTTGTAAAACATTTTGACTCCCCAAAATTTAATAACCTGCTGTTGATTGGAAGTCCTACCATAATATAGTCAGTTAGCATATATTTTGGTTGTTATATGTATCATATATTGCATTCTTTTTTTTTTTTTTTTTAAGATTTTTATTTATTTATTTGACAGAGAGAGATCACAAGTAGGCAGAGAGGCAGGCAGAGAGAGAGGAAGGGCGGGGGGAAGCAGGCTCCCTGCTGAGCAGAGAGCCCGATGCGGGACTCGATCCCAGGACCCTGAGATCGTGACCTGAGCTGAAGGCAGCGGCTTAACCCACTGAGCCACCCAGGCGCCCTCATATATTGCATTCTTAAAATAAAGTAAGTTAGAGAAAAGAAACTTATGAAGAAAATATTACAATACTGTACTGTGTTTATTGAAAAAGAAAAAGAAAAGAAAAGAAAAAGTTGTGTTAAGTGGACCTGTGTAGTCCAAACCTGGGGGCAGAGTTGTGACATGATTTGATTTTTTTTTTTTTTTTTAAACAAAGTTCAGCGCAGCTACTGAGTGGAAAACTAGCTATAGGAAACGCAAGGTCTCAAGTGGTGGACCATTTAGGAAGCTTTAACAGTGATCTAGGCTTGTGGTTTCCAATGTATTCATGATGGTCCATGTGGTACAAGAAAAAACTGTTACAGGTGTATTTATACTTTATTTTTATTTTTATTTTTTTAATTAAGCTGGGGGAGTTGGGAGGGCCTGGTGGTGGGTATTAAGGAGGGCATGTATTACAAGGAGCACTGGGTGTGGTGCATAAACAATGAATCTTGGCACACTGAAAAAATAAAATAAAAATCCGTAACACGGATTCTTAACCAAAAATAAATAAATTAATAAAATGTATATGCAGTATTGAGGAAAAAAAATTAAGCTTCATTAATATTTGATACACATATTGGTACTGGTGCCACATTCCATTTGTGTATTAGTTACATGTGACCTACCATTTTTGGCTTGAGCAACTGGGTGAGTGCTGGTATTTACTGAGGTGAGAAAACAGGGAGGAACAGTTCATGTTTGGGGGTAAGCATAGGGGAACAGTAGCTCAATTTGGGGAATTTTAAGTTTGAGATGCCTCTTAGAAATCTAATGAGATTTATCAGGTAGGTGGTTTAGATGTATGACTCTGGAGCCAAGGTGAGAGATAATAAATTTGGAAATCATTAGCGTCGAGGCAGTATACAACAACTTTGGAGCCAAACTGTGTGAATACAAATTTCAGCATTGCCACTTACTGACTTTAATTGTGGACAAGTTAACTTGTCATCTCTCTGCTTCATTTACCTCACCTATAAAATGGAAATAAGTGTTTGCCTCACCAGGTTATTGTGAGGATTAAATGAATTAATAAAAGCAGAGTGCTTAGAACAGCATCTGGCATGCAGTACACACTAGATACTATTATTATCAGTTTATGAATGGTGTTTAAGACCAGGAGATTAGATGAGATGAGCTAGGGAATGAATGTAGGTAGAGAAAAGGGCCCAGTGAAGGAGTGCTCAAATAGTAGAACCTTTAAGATTCAGACAGGGGATGCCTGGGTGGCCCAGTCGGTTAAGCGGCTGCTTTTGGCTCAGGCCATGATCCCGGCGTCCTGGGATCGAGTCCCACATCGGGTTCCTTGCTCTACAGGGAGCCTGTTTCTCCTCTGCCTCTGCCTGCCACTCTGCCTGCCTGTACACACACTCACTCTCACTCTCTCTCTCTCTCTCTCTCTCTGACAAATAAATAAATGAATGAATGATTCAGAGACAGGAGGGAGGAGACCCGAGGGGTAGGGTAGGGGTACTGACCAGGAAGTTGTGGGGTCTGGAAGCCTGCCTACTGAAGGAAACATTTCAAGGGAAGAAGTCCTCATTGGACAAATTCTGCTCAAGAGGTCGAGTAAGATGAGGACCTGGAATTGATCAATGGGTTTGTTAAAATGGAATTTGTTGGTGACCATGAGAAGTGGTTTCAGTGAGAGTGGTGGATAAGAATATCTGATTGCAGTGGGTTAAGGAGAGAATTGGAGGTACAGAATTGGAGAACATGAGTATAGACAACTCAGAGGAGTTTTCTGCAAAGAGAAGGAGAGAAAAATAGAGTGGTAGAGGAATATGTGTGGAGTCAAGGAAAGTTTGGAGTGGGGGTGTCTGTTGATTTAAAATGCAAGATAATGCAGCAAGCAAGCTTCTATACTGATGAGAGTTCCCCAGTGGGAAGAGAAAACTTCACATATGAGTGACTTGGGATAGTTACAGTAGCCAAGACCTTGAGTAGGTAAAATCTGGTAGTTTAAGGCACAACTGGAGGGATTAGTTTTAGAGACTGGCAGGGACTCTTCATCCATTGTTGAAGGTAGAGAGTATTATTGGGGGGGGGGCTATAGATAGATTGGTGGATTTGGTTTTTGAGTGCTTTAATTTTTCTAAAAAAGAGAGACAGGGTCATCAGTTGAGAGTCAGAAGTGAGAACGAGTTTGTAAAGTTTGAGAGAGGGAGAGGAAGTGGTGTGAAATAGTCATCTTTGAAGATGGAAAGTGAATTGACTGGGGAAATGCAGGTGAAATGTCAAGGAGTTTCAAGGGCTGACCTGACAGTTGGTGATCATTAAAGTGATTCCAGCTGACAGACTAGGAAATGTGGTCTTGAGAGCATATGCAGTGAAAAAGAAGTGGGGACAGTGCTTTCTCTGCTTCTATTTTGAACTCTTGCCACATGACTGAGAGGATTGCTCTTGGAACATTCCTCAGATCCATGGATATTGACAGAGAAATTAATTAAAGTGAATAGGCAAAAAATGAGTCATTTCACTTTTGCCTATGTTCAGTTTCTATATCACGATATTTCACATAGAAGATGAGTTCCTAGAGGTGTTCATATTGCCATATCTCCTTGAGCATGCCTACTTTACACAAAATCAAGTAGGTTCTGGGCTACTTTTAGTGAATTATATTTGGCTGCTAAATTATGTTAAAGTAAAAAACTCTGATAGGGAAAGCTTAGTAATTTTTCTTGTTAGAAAGCCTCACTTAAAGTTTTCCCTAGGACCTGTGGTTTCCATTCATCTAGGATTATCACTCATGTTGATTTCATACTTTGTGTTTGATTACAAGTGAGTTCAAAGTCTGGTTTTCTTTTCTTTCAGGTGCCGGAGAATCTGGTAAAAGTACCATCGTGAAACAGATGAAGTAAGTTGGAATATGGCATTTTATAAAACCACATTTCCTCATAATGCATGAAAGTCCGTAGTATCTTTTTTTTTAGGTCCATGGTAATGATTTGTGGTTTTCTTTTTAAAGAATCATTCATGAGGATGGCTATTCAGAGGAAGAATGTAAACAATATAAAGTAGTTGTCTACAGCAATACTATACAGTCCATCATCGCAATCATAAGAGCTATGGGACGGCTAAAGATTGATTTTGGGGAAGCTGCCAGAGCAGTAAGTGTTTCTCATTTCTTCTTCACTTACTTTCTTTTAGTAGATGGGTTAAGCAAAATTTGTTTCATCTTTTAGGGAAATGAATTTAAATAACAAGATAAGGTGTAGCCAAGTACTTTGTGCCCATTCGAAGAAAAGTATTAGCCATCTGCTTTAGGAGATACGCGATCACCACCACAAAGAGGAGTCAAGGAAATGGGATTGTGTGGATATCCTGTAGGTTTCTGTGACAGCCATTTTTTATTCACTCTATTATAGCACAGTCTTATTTAATAGTAGTAGATGCTAGTAAATTGAAATAATCTAAAAGAGATAGCTCTGCTTTCTGTGGTGTAAAGATAAAAGGCACGTTTCAGTCTCCTAAAATATACTTGAAAAGGACATGAACACTGGGGCGCCTGGGTGGCTCAGTGGGTTAAGCCTCTGCCTTCGGTCATGATCTCAGGGTCCTGGAATCGAGCCCCGCATCGGGCTCTCTGCTCAGTAGGGAGCCTCCTTCCTCCTCTCTCTGCCTGCCTCTCTGGCTACTTGTGATCTCGTCTGTCAAATAAATAAACAAAATCTTTAAAAAAAAAAAGGACATGAACACTAAGTCAAAATTTTAAGGACAATTTTTAGGTATTCAAAAATACCATATCCCTGTACTACATTGGACAATAACCTATGCAGTTGGATTATATCATGTCCTAGGATAATTCCTGTATATGTCAGATATTTAAAAGTTGTGTTGACTAATTATAATACTTAGTATGCCATGAAGTTCTTGTTTATAAATTAGGATGTTTGATGCAGCAGGGGAGGGCCAAAATGAAGGCAAGAGATCTATTATATCTCCAGCTGTACTCCTAAGAGAAGGCTGGGAATGTATAGAACAATTTCCTAGAACTAAGGGAGTCATCAGCTGTGTTCAGGATGCTGTTCTTAGGTGCTGTGGACAATAAAAGGAAGTGACTTGGGGAGGCTGCCTGGGAAGGCAAAGCCCATGTGTCTGTGAGGTAGCTTAGGAACTCATAGCTGCTTTCAATTTATCAATTAACAAGCTATTATTAATGCAGATTAATATTCAGTAGACAAGTGAGGAAATTGTTGCTGGGAAAAATCATAAAAGAGTGGTTATAATTGGATGGTATTCGACTAGGAGTCCTAGAAGTGAAATAAGGGAAGAGAGGAGGTGGGGTAAACGTAAAATGTGAAATTGTAAAATGTAAATGTAAAATGATTGGGAGAGAAGAGCAGCAGAAGAGGGGACAAGGAAATGTGTGAGGCATGACTTTTATGTTTTTGTAAAAAAAAAAAAGGTGCTGCATCACAATTAGAAACTTTATTTTTGTAAGCCTCTGAGAAGGAGAAATAGGATAGGGAATCTAAGAATAAGCAGTGCATTTCTGTCTTACATCTTTCCATCATTTCTCTACCTCCTGCTTTTGTTTCCTTCTTTTTCCTTCTTCCCTCTGCTCCCCGCCCCCACCAAGCTCTCTCCAGTGTTCTTATTTTCCTCCCTTTCCTCATGCCTCCCTGTCACCTAACTCTACATCTCTGTTGTGTTCACCCGATCCAGTAACTGGTCCATGCTACTGCATTTAGTCCCTTCCCTCTCTTTGTTGGCTTTTTCTTCATCTCAGTCATTTATGCCTTCTTTCCTTTTCTTCTTTTTTTATTTCTCACTGTCTGTCCTCTTTTATATCCTTGATCATCCCTCCTTTCTTTTCTTTCCATTGTCAAATTTGTTGTTATTTAATGTTTGGGTCCTCACACTACTTTGTCACCAATACAGTTGACATTTTCTGTCCTTGTCCAGTTGTGCTGCTGTAACAAAATACCACAGACTTAGTAGATCATAAACAACAGACATTTATTGTGTCCACTTCTTGGGGTTGGAAGTCTGAGGTCAGATTGCTAGCATGGTCAGGTGAGGGCCCTGTTCAGTTGTAGGCTTCTCACTGTGTCCTCACATGGCAGAAGGAGAAGGGAGCTCTCAGGACTCCCTTTTTAAGAGCACTACCCCTTCCCTTCCCTTTTACCTTTCCTTTTTCTTTTCATTCTTTGGGACCTGGGTTTATTTTTAAACTACCTGACAAGTAAGGGTGGGTAGAATAAAGCAGAATTACCAGAGTTTGCATAGCCCTTTTCTGTCCTCTTTATAGCTCATGTTTTAGATTTAAAAACTAGCCACTTACAGAGCTTTTTGACTCATGAGTTTTGATCAAATCTCTTTGTAACTTTCTTTTCCTCTTACTGTCTTCCCCCTCCCCTTATTTACAGGACTTTAATTCCTTGGGGAATCTAGAAACTGAATTTTTCCCTGAGGGATTTATTTCCCTCACTAGGCTTCCAGGCTTCTTAAATAACTCAGTCTCCTCTTCTTCCTGTTCCTCTGTCTGAACTGAAGAGGGGAGAAGAGAATATTTTTCCCTTAAACTCGATTAATATTTTACTCCCTCTGACGTGTTTAGATTTTACCTCTTATAGGCTAGTTTTTTCATTTCTCTTTTTATTGTAGGCTTCCTTTAACAGAATGGGAATGTGTTACATATGCCTATCAGAAAAACCTATCAGTTTTTCTGTCAAAAAATCATGAGTAAGGGCGCGTGGGTGGCTTAGTCAGTTAAGCATCTGCCTTTGGCTCGGGTCGTGATCCCAGGGTTCTGGGATTGCCCCATGTTAGGCTTCCTGCTCTGCGGGGAGCCTGCTTCTCCCTCTTCCTCTGCCTGCCCCCTCTTCTGTGTCCAATAAATAAATAAAATCTTAAAAAAAAAATGAGTAAGCAGGATAGAGATCTGTAGAAGAGATCTTTTTAAGAGATGGTGGTATGTGGTATGTGGTAGGGGGACCGAAATCATTCCTCAGCTCAGCTCCGCACTTCTAACTACAGTGGAGTGAGTAGGGGGAACGACTTCATTGTGCTTCTCTCGGACTGCCCTGCCTGGAAAGGTCTCTGTAATACTTCTCTTCAAATAATGAAACATACAATGTGCTTGTGTTTGGAGAGACTCTTGTCAAGTCTTTAAGAAGTGGAGAATCATTTGTCTCTCTTTCTTAACTGCTTTCTTCAGGATGATGCCCGGCAGTTATTTGTTTTGGCTGGCAGTGCTGAAGAAGGCGTCATGACTCCAGAACTAGCAGGAGTGATTAAACGGTTGTGGAGAGACGGTGGGGTGCAAGCTTGCTTCAGCAGGTCCAGGGAGTATCAGCTCAATGATTCTGCTTCATAGTAAGTAATTTTTCCATAACAGGAAATAATTGGGTGGCCCTAAGAAAGTTTAGGGTCTGTCCTTAACAAAACATTTAAGTAACAGATGCTCTTCGAACTCTATAGCATCCCTTGTAAAGAGGGTTTCAGTTCAGGGTTATATGGCCCTTGATCAATTTGTATGACTCGGAGTAAAACGTTGCCTCTTGGAAAGTAAATGGGAGAATTGGCACCATGAAAAGTAGCTCTGTGGTTATTATTTATAATAAGTGAGTGAAAGAGGAGAGAAATCTTTTGGAGCTGGATCCTGGATCTCCTCCAGTGCTGTTCCCTCTACATAAGAACTTTGCATTAATTTCCAGCTCGTAAGGGAAATTAGAATTGTGATATCCTTTTTTATGCACCCAGCTCTGTGGCTGGGCTGCACTATAGATGTCTTTGGTACCAGTCACCACTAACAGATCTTTTGCCAGATCACAATAGTAGACTTTGTACAGAAAGAGAATATTCAGTCTTGGAAGGAAGTCAAAGCATCTGTTTGTCAAGGAAATTCTCCTAAGTGTTACATAGTTTGAGAGAATTCATAATTAATACTTGAGCAAAGCTATTACATGCTGTCCTATTTTGCTGCTTTTACAACATGTTTATTTATAAAGACCTATATTCAGAATGTACTTTTTAATGTGCCTTTTGGGGACTCGGTAAGTCCCTGTATCTATATCTATATCTATATTGGGGACACTTTTAGGTGTTAAGGTATTTTCAACAATATTCTATATCCTACTCCTTCATTATTGTTTAAGTTGTAATAGGAAGGAGTTAATTTATATTTGAAAAACTTAGTTATTCTTGAATGAAAAATTAACTTGAGAAACATTTCAGTATTTTGCCCACATTTTAAAATATTATTTAGTTGCCTATGTTGGTAGTTTCATTTACTCTCCCAATAATCATGAAAGGTGTATTGTTACTTTTTTTCATACATTCATTAAGCTCTGAATCCTGTAACTATACCCAGAGAACATGTGATTTATATAGGTTTTTTCCATAATGTTTGATCGAGGCTTGACTCATTCCTTAACATTAATGGTGGTACTTAGTTTTATAGAAGCTTGTTAATGATTGCACTTATAGTAGTGCAACCTGTTCTTCAGTTTTTTTGACCAAAAAATCTTTAGTAGGAGTCCTGAAGTTACCAAAAATTAGTTGAGCTTTTAAAAAAAGTTAACTTAGCTTTGAAGCAGTCTTTTAATTCTTTCACTGAATAAATTAAATTTCTTTGGAAGTATTTACAATTTGTTTTTTACTTAGATTTTAAAAAACCACAACTTGGGGCGCTTGGATGGCTCAGTGGGTTAAGCGTCTGCCTTTGGCTCGGGTCATGATCTCAGGGTCCTGGGATCAAGCCCCGAATTGGGCTCTCTGCTTAGCAGGGAGCCTGCTTCCCCCTCTCTCTCTGCTGTCCTCTCTGCCTACTTATGATCTCTGTTTGTCAAATAAATAAATAAAATCTTTTTTAAAATAAATAAATACCAATGCACAACTTTTCTATTTTATGAATGAAAACAGGAAATATTCATTCCTAATGAACATAGTTCTTAATTTTAATTTTAGTAATTCAAACAACATTGTCAAATGTCCTTTTAAATGTCTGAGGGCTTTTGGTTTGGTTTTTGTGCTCTGCAATACACAGTTGATTCAGTATTTAGCATTAAGTTTCAGGAATCTTCTTTTTTTCTCCCAAGATTTTTTTTTCCCCAAGATTTTTTATTTTTAAGTAATCTTTACATCCAGCATGGGGCTTGAACTCACAACCTGGAGATGGAGAGTCACATGCTCTACTGACTAAGCCAGCCAGGCACCCCAGAAATCTTTTTATAATAATAACATTTCCATATTTGTTTGCTTTTAATTGGCCATCACAGCTTAACTTTGGTAGAATTAAAACCACTTTTGTGTAGCTTATATAGAACCTACTTTAATTGTCCTATGTTAGGTTCATATTTTTTCTCATTATCATTTCTGTGATACTGAAGCTCTGATTTTGTTCTGCCACTTTAGTGACGGGTTCAGAATCCACTTTTGGCAAGGAACTAGTTTAGTCTGTTGATTTGCTGTATATATGGTTGACTTCACCAGATAGTAACAAATATGTGTTTTATTCAGTTACCTAAATGATTTGGATAGAATATCCCAAACCAACTACATTCCAACTCAGCAAGATGTCCTGCGGACAAGAGTAAAGACCACAGGGATTGTGGAAACGCATTTCACCTTCAAAGACCTGTACTTCAAGTAAGTCATTAGCCTTTTTGCTAGATGTGTGAAAGACAAATATCTTTCCTTTAGTTCGTATCTCTTAATCAGGGTAAAATTTCTCTAGGCAATATTCTTTGGTTTAAAAACCTACCATCATATTCATTAGTCAGTATTTGAATGTTTTAACTGAATGGGGGCCCGAGCCTTTCTTCTTTGTCCAAAATAGCATCGAATACTTTTGTCCATTTGGAGGAATTTAAATTCAAAATCAAATTGTAAATATCAATAGTTATCAATTTATTTTATTTTTAATTTTATTCTTTTCAGCTGCTTTTTTGTTGGAATCATCAAAACAGGTATTGAATGTTTGTTGTTTAGAAGGGTAACAACAATACTAGGGATAGATACTTAGTGATATTGCTTTGTTCTACCATGTTGATATTAAAATAGAAATGCTTTACTTACCAGTGTGTCGATCCTTCCTGAAGCACATTTAGGTTTAATGGAATGGAGCTAATATTGTCATGGCTCTTGGACTGATTCGTGCACAGTATCATGTACAGCTAAGTTCTTACTATAGTATAGAATGGAAAATTGATACGGCGATAGAGGTATTTGGGGGAAGTATGAGATATAACAAGTGGTTGTTTTAGAGAGAGAAAGTTCTAGTACAAAATACAAAGGACTTTCTTATTAGCATAGGTCATTCTAATATAGACTTCAGCTTGTCTCTGCATTAATGGTCTTTTGTAAATATTAGAACTGTCTTTTTGTTTCCTGCTTTCTGCTTTTGTGACCTTTGAGATTAGGAGTAAACTTTCCCCTTCAATATATGATGTTTGTTCCAGCTGCCTCCTTATGTTCATATGTGGTCTGTTTCACTCAGCACTGTTGCATGCAAATGTAACTTCTAGCTGAGAGCTTCTCTGTGTTCTTCTCTCTGAAAATAGTTGCTTCACAGGATTTGTGAAATCCACACAAAGTTTAGATATTTCTAGATACCACTTGAGGTCTTGAAATCTTAGTAAACCAAAATAGGTCAGAAACATGGTGCAGAAAAATAGCAGTTCAGCTGAATATTTGTAGAATAGAAGAGCTGCTTATCTTTAGCACTGATGAATTTAACTGAGTAGAAAGGCCATATGGATTTATCACCCTTGTACCATAAGAATGAGATGTCTTTTTGTGTACCGTAAGATTAGTAATCCATTTATAATTAAATGTGGTGAGCTTTATTTAGTGTGGGAAGCATTCTTATTGATGTTCTCATGGATTGATCTTTAGTTGGGTAAATCCTACTGGTCTTATGTCAGGATCGACAGCCAGTTAAAGTGTAGTTAAAGTGCTGCACCGGCTTTATTGTGGGTATGTAGATATCTTGTTATGAAGTACTATCACTTCTTCCTTTTCCTCTTCTCTCTAGGCAGAACCACTATCCATTCATTCAAACATTTATTGAGCATCTACTATATGCAAGGCATTGTGTAATTGCTTACTTGCCTCTCGGTTATGAGGTAATGTTTATAAAATGTTGATCTGTTAGTGAATTATATTGTAAATGTTAAGTGTGCTAAAAGTCCACCTCGGGGATGTCACAGTATTCTACCAGTTTTATGGACTTTGTAACAAAGAAAACGGAGGGGTGAACTGAAATTATTGGTGTACCAGCGTGTCTGTCTCCCTTTGAAAGACTTCTGTAGTGATATATATGATGTTTGCTTTCCTAAAACATAGAATAGGACCCTGTATTAAAGCCAGCTTGTGACTGCATCATTCCAGGTGTCATGACCAAAGGCTGAAAAAAACCCTGCTAGATCAACCAAAAGAAAAGGCTGGGTCATAAAGAGATAAGATGACTGTTCTCTTTCAAGCGTACATTGAGAAATTACTCAGTTATGTCTTATTTCTCTCAGTCTCCAGGGAAAAATTCTTTGGAAATAGACCTTGAGTCACTTTAGATCTGACATACTAAACCGCTTGGCAAAGTTTACCTTTTAAAATTTTGTCCTCGTCACATCTATCTTTAGTATCTACTCATTTGTATGCATGCCTCCTCAGATGCTGGTACCTGCCAAGAGACAAAGCACTGCACGTGTTCCTCTTATTGTAGGCGGGAGATGAGGACTGTTGACAGAAGTACAGCAATTGAGGCAGGCTATCCAGGAAGCCCCCCAGACAGGAGTGGTGGACTAAAACTAATCTGGATTGGAACATAAAGTTTGTGAACAGCTGAGGCTTTGTTGTTATGAATTAGGTTCAAGTAAGACGTAGAGTTGGAAAATACTGATTATGTTTTTGTTTTTAGATAATTGGGTTCTTAGAGTCCTACCCTGAAATACAATTTACTTTTCCTCCATAATTAATCTCTAAAATATTTTTTCCCTAAAGTAAGGAAAACATATCTCAACCATACCTTAATTTAAAAAAAAAAAAAAAAAGAAAGAAAGTTAAAAAGTAAGGAAAACAAACTTTTTGGAAGCACAATGCAAGTTGGAGATTTGTATTTTTTCATAGTTCTTTTTAACTAAAGAGGTAAAGCATTTGGAGGGGTAGAGTGGTGTTATGGCTAAGAGCCTGGGTACTGGAGTTAGAGTGCTTGGATTCAGAGCCCCAGTCCCCCTTTGTTAGTAGTGTGCCTTTAGGTACTTAACATAACTGTGCCTCAGTTTCTTCATCTGTGCCCTGGAGATAATAGTACTTACAGGAGTGTTGTAAGGGTCAGTCAAATGAGTTAGTGTACTTTCGGTGTTTAGGATCATGTCTGGCATCATGGTGAACAATAAGTATTAGTTAGTATTCTTGTTATTACCTTAAGTTGTATTATTCAGCTCTTGTTTTTCCTGTCTTCCCCCCCACCCTTTGATCCATTTCAGTGCTTATTCTGCTGACTTTTGGCACACCTGATACAAGCTTTGATAGAGAGAAGGTGCAACTAGTTATTTAAAATGAGAACTTTAATTATTCCTAGATTTTATTTTTACATGTTGTTTTCTTTTACTTTTAACCACAGAGTATTAGATTGACTATATTGTATCTGCTTCTTGTTTGTCTTTTATATTGTAAATTGGGTTTTGAATATGCAATAGTGGGAGGTTCCCTAACCATTTCAGTTTAGGGAGAGGTGTTAATTTGTGACCTTGCTGAGTTTGTTCATTCTTTCCCTTTACTCAGGATGTTTGATGTAGGTGGCCAAAGATCAGAACGAAAAAAGTGGATTCACTGTTTTGAGGGAGTGACAGCAATTATCTTCTGTGTGGCCCTCAGTGATTATGACCTTGTTCTGGCTGAGGATGAGGAGATGGTATGTTGGATCTTCTGGTAAAAAGCCTGGTTCATGTAGACGGGGGATGATTTTGTGTATCCGTTTGTGTATCCATTTGCTCATTGAACCAAATCTTGATTTCTTATTTTTTTCCCCTGTGAGTTAGATTTTTAAAATATTGATCCGTGCCCTACTAATTCTTAAGAGATAGGACAACGTATTGACTATGTATGCGGGCAGGGTTAGGTTCTCTTGTTAGCCAGTCTTCTTCCCAGCTCTCAGCCTCTAAGAATTAGGAAAATGAGGACCGACTTAGCTTTTGTGGTATCTGTCTAGCTTATTACCATCCGTGCCATTCAGTGCTTCTAAAACTTGTTGGTCTGTTGTTTGTTTTGTTTTTTTTTTCATTAACAGTTCATTCACTTTTACTTTTTGCTATTGACACCCCTTTTTTCCCCCCTCAGAACCGAATGCATGAAAGCATGAAACTGTTTGACAGCATTTGTAACAACAAATGGTTTACAGACACTTCAATCATTCTCTTCCTCAACAAGAAAGACCTTTTTGAGGAAAAAATAAAGAGGAGTCCATTAACTATCTGTTATCCAGAATACACGGGTAAGGGATCATGAACGACTTCGTTGGAGGTATACATCCTAGATGAACACTGTAGTGACATTCCTACACCTGCCTTTTATTATGAACAATGCATGTATATCCTTATGGAGAGTGTTCACTGGTAGTGGTATTAACGTTAAGCATGTGATTAAGACCCCTTAAGTCCAAAGTGCTATTCCATACATAATCGAGTTTACTGTGTTTATTTTGTATTTCTGTCCTCCTCATTTTTTGAGGAAAAGAGAGATAAAGATCAAAATTTGGTCTATGTATGTTCAAAAAAGTGCAAGGATAAGATGCAGTCATTGCAGTTAAGACACAAGTTGTTGAGAGAGGGAAACAAAGAATTTCATTATTGTCGGAAATGTTCACTAGCAGAAGAAGGGGTTACTGCTGTGGGTTCTGTGTCCTCTTTTTTCTAGAGGAAATGACACTTGTAGTGAGATAATGAGAGGACGAATTAGAAACCACCAGGCAAACAGGATTAAAAGCATTTTAGGAAGAAGGAATAGCATATATTTAAATACAGAGGTAAAAAAAAAATAATGTGCGGGGTACATGGGTTGCTCAGTTAGTTGAGTGTCCGACTCTTGATTTCAGCTCAGTTCTTGATCTCAGGGTCACGAGTTTAGGCCCCTCATTGTTTTTAAAAATGAAATTGTTAAAAAAAAAAATTACATGATATGTTTGGAACCTAGAAGGGATTTGGTATTACCAGAGCTTAATGTGGTAGGAAGGAGTCGTTGGTGTAATGGGCGGGGATGCTCATGGAGAGCCTTGTATCTCATGGTGAGATAGTGGGGAGCTATTGAAGGATTTTGATTGGGGTACATGAGGTAGTGGAAACTGGGCTTTAGAAAGATATGCAATAAATGGCAATAAAGATAGATAGTAAGGGAGTTGAATTAGTAAGGAGTCTCTTAGGATGCAAGTGAAAACTTTTTGGCAGGGGCATGAAGATACTGGGTTATATCCTAGAAGGGAAGGGCAAGAATGCAGACATATCTTAAGATACAGGTGGAGTCTTAATTCCAGGACCCTGGGATCGAGCCCCACGTCGGGCTCCCTGCTTCTCCCTCTCCCGCTCCCCCTGCTTCTGTTCCATCTCTCACTGTCTCTCTCTGTCAAATAAATAAATAAAATCTTTAAAAGAAATGAGTTTAGAACTAGGAAATAGAAAGCTGTCAAAGACCCTGGAAGCACTTCTTTCTTCTCTTTTTTCTCCCTCTCTCTGTGCATCTTCTTTCTTCTTCTCTCTCTGCTTAACAGCTTTCTATGCTATTCAGTTTATGTGGTACAAGATGGCCCTGCCACAGTATCTCTCCTGCATTTAAAAGTCCAGGGTAGGGGCGCCTGGGTGGCTCAAGTGGGTTAAGTCTCTGCCTTCGGCTCAGGTCATGATCCCAGAGTCCTGGGATCGAGCCCTGCATCGGGCTCTCTGCTCAGCAGGGAGCCTGCTTCCTCCTCTCTCTCTGCCTGCCTCTGCCTGCTTGTGATCTCTGTCTGTCAAATAAATAAATAAAATCTTTAAAAAAAAAAAAAAAAGTCCAGGGTAGGGGGCACCTGGTTGGCTTAGTCAGTAGTCATGTAGAGCATGTGACTCTTGATCTCTTTGTTGTTAAGTTTGAGCCCCACATTGGGTGTAGAGGTTACTTAGAAGTAAAATCTTAAAAAGAAATAAAATAAAGACCAGGCTTTGCTGAAACTGGTTGGCCCCAGGTTTAAATTCCTAGGAGAGAGATTCTGGCCAAGGTTAAGGCCAGCAAAAATCCTTAGCCCAGTCAGTCAAAGTCAGGGACACAACCATGAATGCCAGTGTTGCACCACTATAACCTTTAGATCAGAGTTGGGTATTTTCAGGGAAGGAGAATTCTTGTTACCTGAGCAGATGCTGTAAAGCTTTCTGTAATAAAGTGAAAGAGTATAGCTAGGGTAAGGAAGTGGGAAGAGTACTACCAGAGTTCTGCTTTGATTGGCTGCTGGTGCTGTGATCTGAATTGATACTTAGACATGTTGATTTCGAAGCATCTTTTGACCTTCCAGGTGGAGGTATCTAATAGGCAGATATATACGTGGCCTTGGCGCTTGGTGGGATGTTGAGGGTTACATGTGTTCATCTGAGGTGTTGTATAAATACAACATGGAAATGGATGAGATGACGACGACTGATGTTGCAGAATGAGAGAGAAATAGCAGACTCTGTTGGCAGGAGAGAAAGAAAGGTTTATGCTGGATGCAAAGAGAAAAACCAAGAAAGCCAAAGTATCAAAAACTAAGAAATTTAGAATTGAGGGGTTGTCAGCAATGTTGTGTGCAGACAAATAAAGTAAGATATACATTGGAAAATGGCCTCTGGAATTAGCAGTCAAGGAGATCACGAGTGTTACTGAGAGCGGTTGTCAGTGAGCATAGAGCCAGGGCTGTGAGTTACTGAGTGTGAAGTATAGAAATGAGCCCAGTGTAGCCTGCTCTTAAGCAACTTGGATTACAGAGGAAGGAAAGATTGAAGAATGTTCATCGGCTTAGTGGTAAGTTTTTATAGCAAAAGAGAAGTTGTAAAAAATGGATATAATTGGTGGAGCAAGATTTGTAAGCAGATGGAATTCCATACAATGGAATATCACTCAGCTATAAAAAGGAACGAAGTCCTGATGCATGTTCCTACTTGTATGAACCTCATAAATGTATGTGAGGTGAAAGAAGCCAAACACAAAAGGTCACATTTGTGTGATTACTTTTATATGATATACCCCAAACGGGCAAATCCATAGAGACAGAAAGCAGGTTGGTTGGTGGTTACCAGGAGCGGGGGGTGGTTAAAATGAGGGGAATGAGGAATGATTACTTAATAGTAATGGGGTGTTTTTCTAGTTGATGGAAAAGTTTTGAAACTAGAGAAAGGTGCTGGTTACATAACATTGTGAATATACTAAATGCCACTGTATTGTACACATTAAAATGTCTTACTGTATGTTACATAAATTTCACTTCAGCTTAAAAGAATCTTGGTAGAGGAGTTAAATTTTGAAACTGCCAGGAAGCCCACTCTAAGACCATAGGTAGAAATGTATGGGGATTATAGGTGACTTATATGTGAGGTGGTAGGCTCAAGAATTGAGATGTAGTTTAAGCCCCCTGGCCTTTGTTTTCTCAGGGAAGTTGGAAGTGTGGCCAAGATTGAGAGGGAGGTGAGTTAGGTGAGTTCATAGAAAGTAGCCAGGTTTTAAAGTGGAGAGAAAACTTAAGTAAAAGGATTGACAGTGTTCTAACTGGGAATCTTCCACATAGTAAAGAGCCCTCAATGTCATATCCTTTTTTGGGGACAAGGTTGGGGGGAACACCTTCCAAGCCTGCCTTCCATTGACTTCATTCCCACAGTCCTCATTGCCCAAGTATCAGTTATCTCTTCCTACCAGACACAAATCTCTTTTCAGAGCTCTCCTTGAATTTACAGAAATTCTCAGATCTCAAAAAACCTATTTCAGGCACCTACCACAACCTATCTTCCTTTATTATTCTAAGTATTCTGTTTAAATAACATTCCTCTCTTTCTTAAGCTTTTCTTTGTTTAGTTTTTTTTTTTAACCACTTAGCGCTTGGTATTTGTTGTCATGCTTAGTGTCACTTAACTTCATAGATGTTATTTGTTGAAAACAGCCTCTAGTTCACAGGAATAAAGTCTTGTGTGTTTAATTTGTCAAGGTTTCCTGGTTCTGTAGTCAATTCGGAGGGCTATTCTCAAGGTTCACAGGTAGATGAGACGGTGTAGGAAGCTTGTGGTTAAGAGTGTTAATTACAAATGTTGCAAGTAAGGTTTACTTTTGAGATCCCGCGCCTTTTAAAAAATGGCAGCTTCATTGAGATATAATTTATATGTCACAAAAACACATTTTATGTATTTTTATAAAAACACATTTTAAAGTGTATAATTCAGGCCCCTTTCCCTTTTACATGTACTAGTTTACTACCTTTCATCATATTGCCATAAGGCTCAGAAGCTAAGCCTTTTAAAATTGATATGCTTTTGAAAAGAAGCATTTTAATTCTCTTGAATTGTTTTATTTCAAGATCATTCCAAGGAGCATGGGATCTCTGACCTTTTAAACAGTTGTGTTCTAGCAATTCATCTTCCTGCTTTTCTAGTTTCCTTTTATGCATTCTAGGTTTTTTAGCTGAAATGTCTAAATGGAAGGGGAAAAAGAAAAAGTTTTGTTTCCCTAGATCTTTTTGTGTGATGATTTTGTTTTATTTGGTGTCTGCTCTCAAGAAAAATCTAGTGATTAGAGAAAAACCTAGTGATTACAGAAGTAAATCTGTCTTACATTCCTTTGGGTCATAATCCCTCTCTTCATATAAGTAAGTGGGGATGGTCTGACATAGTTACATTCAGGCAGCTGTAATGATTTGAACTGAGAATATTGGGTGTCTGCTTCAGGTTCCAATACATATGAAGAAGCAGCTGCTTATATTCAGTGCCAGTTTGAGGATCTGAACAGAAGAAAAGATACCAAGGAGATCTATACCCACTTCACCTGTGCCACAGACACCAAGAATGTGCAGTTTGTTTTTGATGCTGTTACAGATGTCATCATTAAAAACAACTTAAAGGAATGTGGACTTTACTGAAGAGAGGTGGATATTAATAAAAGGTAAAACTTCAGACATTTTAGTTCTAATGCTATAATGATGTCTCTTGACTGTGTAAACTTTTCTAATTAAGGATGTTCTTCTTTTCTAGTTATTACAGTGTGGAGTGTTGAGACCAGACTTCTTTTGCTGTCTCATTGGGCAGCTACAAGCATGAACGGGACCAGGGAATGGCAGCAGCATGCAGAATCTTAGCACTCTTTAGCACAATCTTCTGTATTAGGGAACTCTTAATTGACACGAGATGCTAAAGTCAGACATTGGAATTGGAACAGCTGTAAAGTATGATTTGATCATCAAGACATCACTTGGATTTCATAATCTCAAATGTTTAGGGCTGATGTGAAGTTGAGGTGCTGCATTCCAGAACTTTAATATGTAGCTTATTCTTTTTTTCCTTCTTAACAGACCACCGGTAGTTCATTTTTAAAGGTTTGTTTGTTTTTTTTCATCGAGAGAATAATGTGACTAAATTTTATTTGTTTGCAAAAGAATCTTTATTAAAACACAATCTTAACTATGCACATGATGTGGCCAGATCATCTTAAAAATTTTCCTCTTAGTAGGAACTCTTTGTTTTTAACTTTTGGTATGGTCAGAGCATAATATTTCCATAATTACTTAATTCTTTACGGTTATTGGGGCTATGATTGTAGCTTTTTTGGATGAAATTTATGTTACTCTCCTGTTCAAAGTACCATTATGGTTTCTAAATGGTAATTACATTGGAGAGTTCTGTAATAAAATTCTAGCTCTCTAACTTTTGTTTAAGCTTATGGTTTAAGGTTAACCTGGTTTATGCTGATTACCAAATTATTAGGTAAATGTTGATGTAGTATGTAAAGTTAGCTTCTTGGATACAGACACAGCCAGGGCAGCTGTTGATTAGAAATGCGAATTGCTAAATTCCAAACAGAAAACAGTGACTTTGCTGCTACAGATCTACTAAATTGACCACTTTGGTTCTTGCTTGTTTGTCTCAGTCATAGGGAGTTCTGTAAAAAAAGATGCCCCTTGTTTTCCATCTTCCATGGCCTTTTCTGTTGGGAAACATCTAAAGTGTATTAACAATGCATGCTTTTACTTTGTAAATGTGGTGCCAAATCCCTGTTTGCCATTGTTTTTATTGTAGCAATGTTAATTGTAGTAATCCTTAGTCAGTACCTTCTTTTGCCGAAACTATTGCATTTTGGGACTTTTTCCACAATGTTGTGTGTACAGATTTTAATCTGTTATAGTTGGCAGCAGTATTAAAATGGTGAGTAAAGAGTCCAGGTTTGTTCCTGTTTGTAACTAGTCCTTTCTGGAAATATTTTCTTCTGTTTCTTTTTGTCCCCACTGAATGTGCTTTGGCCTTTGTCTGAGAATGGGTTTAGGTAGAGGGTTCCCTGAAGGGCTAGTCTTTTGGTGTAATGGTATTGTTGAAGCTTGGTCTGACTGAGGGTCTTATGTCCTATCTGTGTAAGTGACATGCAGTCATAATCCATTTTCCAGGTTTACATTTTGGTTTTGTGGAGAGCTTTATTCACCTTAGCCTGCAGGTCCTTTTGTATAATGTACAGCAAATGTCCTTAAATACTGAGTGGGCCTTTGGGGGAAGGCAGATAAAGAGAATGCATTTTGAGCATTCCAAATCAGCAGTTTGAGCAGTGCCTTTTGGGGTCCAGTCTTTTTGGATTGGATTCTGTGTCATCTTTTGATGTAATCTTTTCCTAGTTTAAAACAAAACAAAAAGATTGGTGATCATCTAAGCTGGTTCAGAAAAGCAAGTGACAGCAGTTCAGTGCCTTTATTGGAATTTTTTTCTTACTCTTTTTGGAAAAGTATAACTATGCAGATGGTATAACTGTTACTATCTAAACAGTTTTTTTTTTAGGGTTGGGAAAACTGGGTCTAAAAGAAAACGATCAGCTTCAATTGGTGATGATTAACTTATGCTCACATAAGTTGATAGTCCTTGTGCATTTTGAATATATCTTTTCCTCACTGTATTCTGTGATACAGGATCATCTGGAAATGAGAATTGGTAGAATATTGTTTTAACTGTAGTCTTTCTACAATCAGAGCTAATGGGATGATATTGTTGATAATCCAAAATAACAAATAATCTAAGTTAATTATACTTTGAAATGCATTTTGTATTTTCATTCGAATATGTCTGCCTGATATGTTCATTTTTTAGCTTTTCTGTTAATGGAGAATGGTAGTTCTCCACTTTTCTGCCTTTATACCATTTACGTTTGTTCTAAAGATCACCTCCTACCCTACCATTCCATGTAACTTATTTAAATGCACATTCCTTGAGGACACAGGCACACAGTTCAAGTCAGTGGTTTTCAAATATGCCTTAAGTCAGAATCATCAGGTTCCATCTCAGTGATTAACTCTTGTCCGGTGGGCTAGTGATCTATAATTTTTAAAAGGTGATTCTGATCATTGCCTTTGCAAATCACTGTTGTTATTTTGAAATAAAGATCTTTTCTAATAGCGGAGCCAGAGTGCGGGGGTGAAACATCATGTGTACTAGCCTGGAGAAAAAGGATTGATACTTGTAATCAATGAAACTAAAAGTTGCCTTGTATCTTTTTTCTGTGGAGAATGCTGGAGGTTTGTGATGGACCGCATTTCAGTATTCATGTGGCCAGGCTTTGGACCATCTAAGAAACCAGCACATACAAGGAAATTAAATTTTAATGAATAAAGAACAGTAAATAGACTCTAGTAGGAAGGACTGCAAGCAATAGCTTTATTTTGTTGACAGTCACATCTTCACCTGATTAAAACCTTGGGCTGTAAAAAAAAAAATGCCATTCATTAGACTCTGTGTAAAGAGGAAGTATTCTCCTTAATGGCCAGTCTTGTCTTCCCCAATCATATAAATTCACACTTGGAACAGATTGCACCTCCTGGCATGAACATTCCAAGAACTTTTGGGGCACCTGGATGGCTCAGTCGGTTGTGTCTGCCTTTTGCTCAGGTCATGGTCCCAGGGTCCTGGGATGGAGCCTTGAGCCCCGCATTGCATCAGGCACCATGCATCCATCTGGCTCCCTGGCCAGCGAGAAGCCTGCTTCTTCCTCTCCCACTCCCCCTGCTTGTGTTCCCTCTCTCACTCTCTCTCTCTCTGCCAAATAAATAAAATCTTAAAAAAAAATTTTTTTTCAAGAACTTTTACAGTTATTCAAAGTGGATCTTGGGATGACATTTCATCTTGATAGTTTGAATTCTAAATCTCTAGTTCAGTGGATCATTTTATTATTATTTCCAGTGATGGATTGTTATTTTTTTTTTTTTTTACAAGGTGCTGCACTCTAAGGATAGGTGGACCAAATTTTAAAAAAAGTATCTTCTTGCCTTGTTTCTTACTCTCTTATGTGTTGTTTGTGTTTTATTACATGCACATTATTTAGAGCATTTAAAAATAACTGCTGGTTCTTCTAATTCATTTGCCCACCTTATAGTCTTATATCCTGGCCATGTTCTCCTATTCATAGCTGTGACTTTCTTTGGAAATCCTTGCCTAGCCTGACTATTTACTTCATATATGTGTGCATTTGTTTAGCCTGGTTCTGGAGCATCCTGTTGCAGAGCTGGTCGCTGTATTAGCAGTTACATATAAGGTAAAGTTAGTCTTTCCCTCTAATTAAAAACCTCCCTTTGGTTGATCTTTTTTCCCCTTCCAGATGTTGAAAAAACCACAGTCCTCTACTCATTTAAACATACCTAAAAGAGCACTGATTTTCTTCACTCTTACTATTTGTGAATTCCTTCAGATCTTACACTGACTTTAAGAACAAAGTTATTTCAGTTTCCCGGTACTGCCAGGTCATTTTTGTGTTCTTCAGGCTTCATAGTACATACAAGTAGAGCTCTGACCTGGCCCAGCCACAGCTCTCCAAATAGCTTTATGGCTGTCTAAGCACAAGAGCGCACCAGGCTGCTTTGAGGCCTGAAATTAAAAGTTGGTCTTGCTTCAACCCTCAGGATGTAAAAGATTTAAGTGAGGCACCAGGGAACAAACTTCCTGGATGGTCAGGATCTTTGTTTTTTATTTTTGTTTAGTTTTTAACTACTCCCCCTCCCCCCCAGCATTTTCTCATAACTTGTATGAATTACTTCTGCTAGGAGAGCATACTCTAGAACAAGTCAGGACAGGCTAGTTTTTTCCTGATACGATGTCAAGCTTACATACCTGGCTTGACTCAAGTCTTCTTAGGAATTAAAGCTAATCCAGAAGGTTATAATTAGTAGATACCTGAAGTATAAAATTTACATATACAGATTTCCCTGGCTAAACTCTACTAAATTAAGATGTTGGAGACAGGTCCTGAGAACATGTATTTTTAAATAAACTCCTGTGTGGTTCTGATAGAGCTAACTGGGGCAAGATTTGCCAATAACTGAATAGGACCTTATGTTAAAGATCAACACAAATGGGGTCCCTGGGTGGCTCAGTCAGTTAAGCATCTGACTCTTGTTTTCAGCTCAGGTTATGGTCTCAGGGTTGAGATATCAAGCCCTGCTCAGACTCTGCTTAAGATTCTCCCTCCCTCCTTTCTGCCCCTCTAAAATGAATAAATACATCTTTTAAAAAGATCAAGATGAATAGTAGACATATAACCTTAAAAGTCACTAGTAAACAACTGAGGTATTTTTTATTTGCCAATAAATAAGAAGCAGCTTTTGTACCTTTTGTACATGACTTGGAGTGCTTGTCACCAAAAAAATTAGTAAGAGAACTGTTTAGTCAAAGAATATTCCTACACTTTTGTTACAGAGTATTTAGTTTTTATACAAAATTAAGACAAAACAAGAGACTTGGAGTTTCCAAACATTTGTTTCATATGTGTTACTGCATATATTCAGTGAAAATTGAAAGAAACATCAAAGATAAAATCCCATGATAGAGGTCTAGCTATATATATGTAATAACATGAATATTCATTTACAGTTGGTAGATAAAGAGCAAAGCTTAGCTCTAGATTATAGACTGGGAAATCCTTTTGAGACAAGGCTGGGGAAGGGGAATGATTGAGGAGTCAAATAGAAAAGTCTTTGTATGCTTGCTGCTAATGTTGCCCTGAAATCTAATGGGAATCTATAAGGTAGCAGAATTAATTCAGTATTAGTAAATATGCTGCTGGGATACGCCATCTCAATGTATCAGCATCCAGATGTAAGACCTTTGACAGGTGGAATATTCTGTAAAATGTGATTTATCTCTCACCTATCCTCTACTAACCCCCTGCCCCCCCACCCCCATATTCCTTTCGGTTATCCAAACATTTTTACCTAGAGGCTTGTTTAAATGTAAGGTTCCCAGCAGACATAATTCAAATCACAAGAAATTAACTGTTTTTTTAACTTTCCATTTTTGCTTATGGAGGATAAAGGTCCTGAGACCTCTCGAAATCTTACAGAGAGCTGTTTGTCACACCCAGCTCTGGTCTTCTCTCTGCTTCAACCAGCTATGAAATCTTTGTCTTAAATCCTCATTTGTTACCTAAAGGTAGACTAAATTATTCCTTCCAGCCATGATGTATTGTGGGTGTGATACAGTTGAAATAATATATTTAAAAGTGCTTTGTAAATGTTCTTAATGACACTCAAGACGTACTGTACTGCGAAACAAGTAATCTTTTAAGGCGATACCAGCAGATGTATTCATTGTAGCCGGTTTTCTTCTCAGCGTCACTTTTCCCATATTCGTTTTGAATGCCTGAAATGAAGTTCAACTATAAATGGCTCTAAAATTTGTTAAGCCGGGTGGAAAGAAAGGTCTTCACTTTGTTTTGTGTTTAAATCCAGTTCTTCATTTCTGTTCATACTAGTGCTTGCTTTTCATGGCCAGAAAAGCAGAAACGTACCCTTCTGCTGTCTGCAGTGTCTGTTGGACCTCACAGAAATGTCTTCATGCTTTTACCTAGCAGGAACACCAGAGGCTGGGGCCCTGGGCCAACACTGAAGTCCTCCTGGAATCTGTGCTCCGGGGGCTGTGCCGGGTAGAGAGGGCAGTGGGAGGTAAGAGCTCTTCACCCTTCACCACCTTCTCCACCCAGCATGGCCGGCACACTTTGGTCTACGGCACATCTCCAATTGTAGAGCGGGTTTTGAATGCTGTTATTTCTTCTCCAGGGGATGGGACTACCCTGATTTGGACTGTTTGGGGTACATGGAAGTGAATTTTTTATCAGAGTAGGAATTGTTACAAGTAAATGTGTCTTTTATATTGCTTTTAAGACTGGATTTTTGTGCTGCTTTTACCCATAGAACATATAAATGCACATTACCAATTATATTGTATTTTTTCCACTATTTTTTTATTGTGGTAAATCATACATAACATAAAACTGTACCATCTTAATCATTTTCAAGTACACAGTTCAGTGGTCTGAAGTACATTCACTATGTGGCACAGCCATTGCCACCATCCATCTCCAGAACTTTTTTCACCGTCTCAGACTGCAGCTCTGTACCCATTAAACACTAACTCCCCATACTCCCTCTTCCCAGCCCTGGTAACCATCACTCTACTTTGTCTTTATAAATTTGACTACTCTGATACTTCTTATAAGTGGAATCATACATTTGTCCTTTTGAGTTAATCATACTGTATTTTTGTAGAAAAAGAAAAGCAACTGTCATCAGATTCACAAGAAGTGGAACCTAATTCACATTTGGCTTACTGACATCAGTGTACAGCGCATTGCAAGGAAACTGCATTCAGATCTCTGCCCTCTAAGGATATGAACAGATAATTAATTACACCTTCAACAAATAAAGCTATTTATATTTTTGTTTTATGCTAAATTCACATTTAGATTTGAGGCTGATTCGTATTCAGTTTGGAGATGATAGTGTTAAATAGCTATGATTTAGGATGGCGTAATTTAAAAATAACCAAGAATTTGGTTGGGAGTGGGAGGAGCTTAGGGAAATAAGAAAATTGATTTTGACGTTATAGTATATGGTGGGCTTTCAGTAGCATGTTGCATATAGAGAACACTGGCTTGGGATTCAGAAGACCTGTTTTGGAGTTCTAGTTCTACTTCTAGCAGTTTAATCTTGATGAAGACATTCCACATCTCTGGGCCTCAGTTTCTTACCCATAAATTGCTAGTGAATAGTCCAGTGCCTAGACTATTTTGAAATTCCTTCTAGTTTGCTCATTTTAAGAATAAAGATCACAGTTCGTGCAAGTAGGGTTTAACTGGTTCTGACCTACCTTGTTACAAAAAAGAATTTATGAGGATGCCTAAGATTCAGCATTGTAGTGTAAATTTAAAATGAAGCAAAAACAAAAGATAAAGATAGCGAAGTGAGTAGAATACCAGAAGATGAGGCCCACTGGCTCTGTTTTCTTGCTGGGACTAGAGGGTTGGTCCTACATGAACATCCATAACCACGTAGACGGGTGGGCTCTTATAGTTTGGCCTATAACCCAAGCCCTGCCTAGAGTCAGAGATCAAGGAAAAGATAATGAAAGAAGCAAACAGCCTGGTACAATTTGTGGTGAGGTTGGGCTACCCTAATTGAAGATGGAATAAGTTAGATACATTAGATTTGGGGCCTGAATAGACAAGATCTTAGCCATAGTAAGTAAGGATTCTTAACCTGGGGCTTCAGGGCTTGGAAGATAGAACTGTATTCTATCATGTTGGTTTCCCTTTTAATACTCCAAATTTGCATTTTTAAATACTCTGAGAAGAGGGCCATAAGTTTCATTGGACTGTTAGAGGGATCCATGATACAAAAAAAGAATCATAACCCCTGTATATTGAGTTAAAACAAACAGGTTAGTATAGCAGGAATATGCCATTTGGAATGTAGTCCCCGAACAGCTCTTGGATTCATGAAGCCTTGCCCAGGTTTTTTCTTTGGTGAAGTTTTTTAACCAGCAATAGTCACTTTCCCTTATTTCTCTGGTAATTCTCTCAAGTCGATTTCTTTTCATGGAATCAGAAAGACTATTAAATGAATCCAATTTTAACAGCCCCAAATTTATTCTTCAGAGTATTTCAAGCTCATATGGCTCTCTAGTATCAATATTGCTAGTAGCAGCCTAAGTGTGAATATGTGTTTCTGGCAAGGAGCAGTTTCATTTTAATTGACACTTTCTTTTATATACTAAATCTTGGATGCCAAGAGCTTGCCTCACTAGTAGTTGTAAATGCTAAATCTGTACTTGACTTCACCACCTCCTGTCAAGATAAATGCAAGCTTCGTTTCCCCTCAGAGAGGTTCAAAGAAATAATTTACTTGGTGTTCTGTATGGGAGATGTTGTCTTCAGCCAGGCATCACATGGATTCAGCTGCAGAGATTAACAGGGCCTAAAGCAAGATCGGCTGCTTTTTTTTTGGTTCTGAAACAATAGCAGTTGAAATGGGAATTTTGGCTTTGCTTACTTTAAATTCTGTGATTGAGGGACACCTGGCTGGCTTAGTCGGTAGAGCATGCAGCTTTTCTTCTCAGGTAGAGAACGTACACTTCTCGGTGTAGAGATTGCTTAAATAAATACACTTACAAAAAAATTCTGTGACCAATAAGTGGTAGCAATAGAATCATTAGTACTCTAAGTGGGAGTGTGCTGAAGTCTTCCAAGTTTATTCAGAAAGTGTCTTGTATACCAGAGGGGCACCTGGTGGCTCAGTTGGTTGAGTGTCTGACTCTTGATCTCAGCTCAAGTCTCAATCTCAGGGTCGTGAGTTCAAACCCCACACTGGGCTCCACGCTGGGCATAGAGCCTACTTTATTTATTTATTTTTAAAAAACTTGTTATTTATTTATTTGACAGAAATCACAAGTAGGCAGAAAGGCAGACAGAGAGGGGGAAGCAGGCTCCCTACTGAGCAGAGAACCCGATGCGGGGCTTGATCCCAGGACCCTGAGATCATGACCTGAGCTGAAGGCAGAGGCTTAACCCACTGAGCCACCCAAGCACCCCGGAGCCTACTTAAAAAAAAAAAAGTATCTTGTATACCTGAGACAGTTACAGAGATAATGGCAGTTGTGGTGGGGTGGATGCAGAGGGATAGTCTGCTTAATAAAGGTGGTTAATTTTGGACATGTGCCTTAGAAACTCCTATCTCCAATCCAGTGATTCAGATCTCTGAGCTAAGCTACATAGAGTCTGTTTGTAAAAAATGGTGGTAGGTTTATTGAGGTCTTGTTTTTAATTGTTTTCTTTTGCAGAATGTAGGGAAAGTTTGCTGCTTTCCTTGGGATAGTTCATCTAAAAACTTGGTCTTGAATTTCTTAAGTGACTGCTTTTATATAAATTTCTTTCTGTGATTCTAACCACACAGCTTTTATGCTCTTTACATTCAGTTTATATTTGTGATCATTAGAATAAGCCTGTGAAGTGGTGGAGAAGTTATCTTTATTTTATAGTTGAGTGACTCAGGGCTCAGAGAAATGAAATATTTATACCTTGTAGTAAAAGAACCAGTTCTGGCACCTGGGTCTCCTGACTCCGGTGTTGTGCTCTTTAAACTGCACTAGCTATCCCAATTTGATAGGAACAGGACACAGTTGGGATCATGTATAAGTCCATCTCTAAAGGAGAATGGATTCACTCTTCATGCCGTGGTATGTTGATCTATTCTTTTCTGCTTGAAATTAGCCAAATTCCAAGCCTGTTTAGGGAATGTGTACATGAAGAGAAATGAGAATTAGAAGAGCCCGCAGTCCTTGAGGTTTTCTTTGATGATAATATCTGTAACTGCATCAAATACAAATTTGACATTCTGCGTGTCTGTAGCACAGGTCATGTGACTGTAGATTTCTTTGACATCTTTTCTCATGTTGAGGTCAAGGAACTGACTCTTGATGTAATTCCCTGCATCTTCATAAGAGTTGTTTCCTGGTTTCCCAGAAAAAATAGTGAAGAAGTGGGATAAATTAACCCTTCATAGCTGCTTACTTTTTTAGGTGACCAATTTGATTCATGAAATGTGTTGGACATCTGCAGTTGGGGGCCTATTTTTAGAGGGAGGGTCCTCTCCTTTATTGCACTCCAGTGTTTATCACTTGAGTTGGACAATGAAATCGAGGACAGGGTGTCTCCACCCTTGATTTCTGGTAGGTATCATTTGAACAGTCGGCAGCTCTCCTGCATCTAACATCTATTCTGTTCCAGGGACATCTGAATTTAAACCTGTGACTGAATACCCAAGTTTCTCAGATTAGACATCCAAGGATCACTCGGATATCACAAGGCACATAAGAAGAACTGAGTTAAAGGGATAAGGGATCATCAACCCAGGAAAGCAAAGGAGTTAGACTTAGTACTCCTTAAAGACAGGTTCCTTCGTGTCTCCTTGGTATAGGAAACCAGGCGATCACCAATCATTACCAAGAAATCATTACCGTTGTCTCCAGCCCTTGATACTTACCATCATACTCTGGAAAACAAATGCTGAGATGCACTTTCTTGATTTTTTCCTCAAAGAGGTCCTTCTTGTTGAGAAAGAGAACAATGGAAGTAGCCGCAAAGAACTTGTGGTTACATATGCTGTTGAAGAGGTGCAGTGACTCATGCATGCGATTCTAGGAGGAGGAAACACCATCAGAGATTTCAGATTGAGCTGACGGGTATATTTTCTCCTTCCTGTTCCTGTTCCCCTTGGAGAGACTAGTGCCCCAAATGTAAGAGGAAGAGCTTACTCCTTTTGGTGTGGTGGGATAGAGCCCAGATGATGTAGCTGCCCTTCTAATTGTTCTGTCATAGCCGTGTAACTTGGGGCAGATTACCGAGCCTTTCAGAGTTTCAGTTTCCCTATCAGGGTTATTATGGAGGTCTGATGAGATCGTGTATGTAGTGTCCATGACAGTGGCTGACATAGAGTTGTACAATCAATGTTATGCTGAGCTTAGGCTGCCAGGGCATTGCCAGGGACTTCGACGCCCGTAGGTGCAGTGGATACACAGTTGAAGCTAGGCCTGAGTTTTCATGTGCCTGTTTGTGTCTCCAGGATGACTTTTTTTTCCCCCCTTAGGATAATTTTGATAGGCTTCTGTTAGAGAGTCCTGGATCTCCGTTTGGGCAGGAACATAATAGGGATTATTGCCTCGGTGTCAAATGGTGAGGGCTAGAGAATTTCTCAATGCCACGCCACTAGCGCTTCTGCCTGTTTTCCTCCTCTGAGTGCCACTTTGAGAAGTTGTGCCGTGTATCTGCGCAGTCTAGATGTTTCCAATTCCCCAGACCAGCCTGTTTTCAGGGAGCAGATCTTTAGGATTTGAAGTATGCTGTTAGTTGGCTTGGGCTCAGTCTTTTCATCTAATGAGGAAAGAAAACAAATCTACTTTTTGTGGCCTTTTATCATTGCTAATACTCCTGCAGAACCCCTTAAAACCTCATAGACTCCAGGGTTAAAGATGGAAGAGATCTTGAAAAGTGAATTTGCACAGAAGATACTCATAGAGCTCTCATGTGAACTTGAACTCTGCTAAGGAGAAGGGAGAAGATGTGGAGCAAGGAATAGGAGTGTAGGTGCTTTGTCTGATATCCATAAGCTGTGAGCCTCCATTAGCATTTCCATGCAGTGATATCCTCTGTCTCAAACTCCAGAGGTAACTGGCTGGGCAGACCCTGGACCTGCAGAGCCTCTTAAAATCTGCAGGCTCAAGAGACTCACCCTCAGGTAGTCTTCCAGCTGCCAGTTTAAGTGGCACGTGAGAAATCTGGTTTGCCAGTCTCTCCTTAGTCCTGTTGACAGTACATATTTAGGCTTCCAAATGAGGTGAGTAGTCCAAACCCTCTATCATGTTGCACAAAGATACACATCATACATTGTCTTTCTGCTTGTTCA